ATTCAGCATGTACACTGTAATTACAACAGCCCCAATCTCACCTATTCAAATAGTTGACTCTAAAAATGGGAAATGGATAAAGGTAAAGACATTGATTATAATATTAATCAGGTACCACAATGAGAAGGCAAAAAAAAAAAAGCCCAGAAAAATGATGCAGACTAGAGACACTTATTTCCTTGTCAGGCAGAGAGACTGGGTAATCAAAAATAGCAAAATATGGAGGAGTATTCTAGTAGATTATGAGCAGTACTATTTCACAAAATAGTAGAAGGTAGTAGAAGGGAAAACAAACTTGCAGAAGAAAGCTTGGAATGAGACCTGATTAAATTGGATAATTCCAAGAACAATTAATGGTGGAACTGGAAGGAAGACATCACATCGATACATAATGAAAAAGATTTGCCAGTGTTTTTATGGTAATTTGTTGTCATTATTCATTATGGAGGAATCATCACATTTGGGCTTTTATACTTCAGTTCTTGGAGTATTAACTGAGGAAATGAAAATGGCACTTCAGAACATGAAGGGGGAAAGATCTGTTGTATTTGACTAAAAACACTACACAGAAGAAATTTATGCTAAAGGTAACTCATTTTGGAGGCAGAGAAAGATCAGTTTTCAAGATATCTCAAACAGGAGAAGATATCAAAAGAATGGAACAAATCATGATGCGATTATTATTTTTTAAAAAAAAAACAACAGAAGAGAAATCACTAACTATTGGACCTGTTGTAAGAAGTTCACAAATATATCAAGGGTATAGGATAAGTATTGGACCTGTGATTTCACTGGGATAGGAAACTATCAGGTAAAGATACTCCCTCTACTGATGCAGGTCAGTTCCTGCAATCTATAGTTTTTGAAAGGTTTCCTTCCACTGAGAGGTAGAGTAACTTGGTCAGAATGTGGCAGAAGCTTCAGAGGCAGACTTGAATCTAAGTGTTCATTTGAGACTAGCTCTCTATCCATTATGTTACACATATACTTGACAAAAATATGAGAAGGGAACAGGAAGATTTTGACTGAAAATATTCGGAAACAAATCAAATCCCACAATCACACAGCTGATAAAAAATACACAAAACCAGATTATGCTGTGCTTATTATTAATGGATTTTTTAAAAAAATTGACTTGAGAGGTAAATAGAGCCTTAAAATGTCTCCTCTAACAAGATATCTCCCATGTCTTGTATCTTCTTCCTTTCTTTCCTCCTTGTCAAACAAATGCATGCAGAAGAAGCCTCATGAAATCATCCAGGAATTGTATAAGCAGTAATGAAAGAGAGAGAGGTACCCACAATGTGTTCAAAGACCTTCAGTGAGATCTTTAGCATTTTGGGCCAATACCTTGGAGATTTTATGGGAGGTCATCTCTCGATGAGGGTGGCATAAATTGGATGACCTATGACTCCCATTGTTATTGGACATACCAACATTGCTGAAATTGATGGTCTAGCTGAGTTGAACAGAAGTGTCCTGAATAAAGGAAGGCACAAGTTTACTATCCTCTGCTCTTATCAGACTACTTCTGGTGATAACATGGCATGATGTAGGCAGCTAGCTTGAAGCCAGGAAGATCTGTGTTTGAGTCCTGCCTCTGATACATACTGGCTGTTTGACTCTGGGCAAGTCACTGAACCTCTTCATGTTCTAGGACAGTCTCTAAGACTACAAGTTGCAGAGAAGGTGCTGACCTATATTGGTAGAGGGAGTTTCCTCACCTAGGAGTTATCTGTACCAATATCCAAACTTGTTTTGTTTTTTTTTTTGGGGGGGTGAGGCAATTGGGGTTAAGTGACTTGTCCAGGGTCACACAGCTAGGTCAAGTGTCTGAGGCTAGATTTGAACTCAGGTCTTCCTGACTCCAGAGCTGGTGCTCTATCCACTGTGCCACCTAGCCGCCCTCTACCAATGTACCAATGAAATCACAAGTCTAGTCTGTAGCCTTAACTACATCCCATGTTAGACCAAGTACAGAGTAGGGTGACCAGAATGATGAGGGGGTCAGGACATCATGTCATGTAAAGAATGGTTGGAGAAATGAGAAACTGAAGTTAAGATCATATAAGATTATAGAGTTACAGCTATAAGTCCCCCTCCCCCATTTTACAGATGAGAAAACTGAGGCACAGAGAAGTTAAGTACTTTGTGCAGCATCACCCAGGCAATAAATGTCTGGGGTGGTATTTAAGCACAGGTCTTTGGACCCCAATGTATTCTTTAGAAATTGAACCCAGATGGAAATGATGGGAAGCTTGCATGATAGTATTATACTAAACACGAAGCTAGAACTAGCACTAGAAAAGCTTAGCTTGTAGAGGAGATTCATGGGGGGTCCTGCCAAGCATCTTCAGGTACTTGAAGGCTGTTATGTGGAGGAGGGGTTAGCCTTGTTTTTCTTGCTCCCAGAGGACAAAACTAGGAGCTAAGAGTGAAAGCTACACAGAAGGAGATTTCAGCTCTTTTTAAGGAAAAAACTCCCAAAAGATTAGAGCTGTTCAGACGTGGATGGAATTAATTCAGTAGGTAGTACCACACTAAGCTGAATTAATATGAATTATTATTAGTAATAGTATTATTAATCTGTGAGGGTCTTTGGTTCCTTTCTTCTCTGAAGTGAAATTGACATTGGAAAGGGCACTGGATTGGGAAACAGAGGACCTGGGTTCAAATCCTACCTTGTCAGTATATAATCTTGGCACAAGTCACTTAACCTTTCTGGGCCTCAGATTCCTAATCTATGAAATAAAGGAGCGAACAGGGCTGGCCTTTTAGCTCTAAATCTATAATCCTAGGATTCTATGATCAGCAGGAGCAGCAACGATCATTTAGAGTTATTTATTTATTTTTATTTATCTACTGTGTGTAGGACACCATACTAAGGAGGAGGAATCACACACAGTCTCCACTGTCAATGAACTCCAAGGCACTAGGCGTGGGGGTGGGGAAAGGCACTCTTTCTTTCACATTGCTGATACAATGTAATTTGTGCTGAATACCAGTACAATTCAGGGAAAAGATGCTCAGATTAGATTCTGCTGGCTGGTCCAGCCACCAGTTGGCAAACACTTAGATCCTATGCTCCCTCTTTCAGCTACTGCCATCCAGAGGACAGGTGATTTGCAGACCTTTTTTGATTGAAGTCTGAGGGCAAACCTCACAGTTCCGTGCCCAGCTGGTGAGGGACATGGACTATTTTATTTTTATTCCAGGGACCAGAGGCATCTGAGCCTGGGACTGAGAGAACAGGTACAGGGAATAGGAAGTGACTGCAGGAAAAGGAGAGCTGTGGATGTCCCAGGAAAGAAGCTTTCACAGTTTTGAGGAGATGACCCTTTCCCCCTCACTTTGGCATTTCAATGAGTAGGAAGCTGGAAGGGACCTGAGAGGACCTTTAGTCCAACTGCCTCATTTTCTAAAGGAGGAAGCTGAAGCCCTGAGATGCTGCATGACTCTTACATAGCAAGTGAGTCAAGAGAAGGGGGTCAGCTAGTACATAGCTCTGCCTCAAAGAAAGACCCTGTCTGAGTCTTGGTATTTGCATGATCCCTAGGCAGAGATAATTTTCTTTCTTAGAAACAAAACCCAGATAAACACAAATTAAAAAAAAACCCAACTCAAACTAACTCCAAACCTGGATGTACTGTTTCCTCTGTGGCTTCTGGGAGTAGATGGGAAAGCCAGGGTGTGGGATACTAGAAAAAGGCACCAGAGATAGCCTTACATGCTGGCAGCAGCATATAGGGTTGTCCTACAAGTAGGCATTAGGGGAGGTGCTTCTTAGGAGTGGAGCAGGGCAGATGCAGGGCCTGTTGGAGAGGTCTTGGAGATTTCCAATCCAGGTTGGTGGCCAAGGTACTGTGGACATGGGCGTCTCGTGAAAGTGGCTCCTGCCCCAATCCATTCTTCATTAGCGGCCCAGTGGGAGGGGAGGTGCAGAAGATGTGAGGACCTCAGGCCACAGAGCTGCCAAGAAGAGGGGCGGTTTGGGGAAAAGAAGGCACAGATGACAGGACTCCCTCTTGGTGGTGCCAGAGTTGGGTAGACAGAATCCTCCTCTCCACCTCTTTCCTCCTCCCTTCGCGTGTGTGTACATGTTTGTATTTGCCAGCCAAAGGGAGAAGGGGTCCGGGGATGAAGGAGTTACAGCCCAGGGCTCTGGTGTAAGGTGTCCAATGCGAAGGAACAGCAGTTTGCAGGAGTTAACGTGGGCAGCTTCTCTGGGTAGGGAAGGGAGGAGGACCGTCTGCCAAGCTCCCGCTCCTCGTGTGTGTATGCGTGTGTATGCGCGTGTGTGTGTGTGTGTGTGTGTGTGTGTGTGTGTGTGTGTGTGTGTGCGCGCGCGCACGGGCGCGTGTCTGCCCGGGTCTGTATGTGCGCACAGGTTGCGTTGAGCTGCTTGGAAACCGTGGGAGCCATTAGAGGAAAGGGGTGGGGTGGGCCCCCCAAGAAAAGCCGGCGCCCGGGCGGAGGAGGGGAACATGAACCCCAGCCACTGACGTGGGCCGAGGGGGAGGGTGGGATGGAGTGAATCTTCTCCTGGGGCCGCGGGGTACCGCCGGGGAGGGGCGGGCGCTGCACAGAGTTTGCGGGGCGCTCAAGTCCGGCGGGGCCGCCGGCACTGGGGGCGAGGAGGGGGCACGGAGGGGAGGCCGCGAGCGGCGCACATGGACTGAGATTGTGCTGCCCGCCGCTTCAGCTCAGCTCGGCTCGGGAGACGGAGAGAACGAGAGGGAGAGCCAGAGAGAGTGAGAGAGGGAGAGACAGAGAGAACGAGAGAGCCAGAGAGAGCGGAGAGGGGAGGGCCCGGCAAGGGGTGGGAGGTGTCGGGGGTGGGGGGAGGGGGGTCAGCTAGACTTACAGACAGACAGATAGACATACACAGGGAAGGCTGGGGAGAACAAGGCGCCCGGCTTGTCTGCCAAGCTGAAAGGGGGTGAGGTTTAGAGAGAGGAGAGAGAAAGGGAGGGGTGTAAGGAGGGAGGGACACACACACACACACACACACACACACACACACACGCATACACACACACATACACACAGAAAATTGTATTTATTTTGGGAGGGACCAAGAGGGTGCCTGGCAGAGCCGGGTGGGGGGGGGGAATGCGAGAGCAAGGACGCGGCTGCGGGCTGGCTGCGCGAGGTGTGAGTGTGAGTGTGTGTATGTGTGAGTGAGTGTGTGTGTGCGTGCGCGCTCGTGTGCCGGCTCGGCACCTCCATTCATCGCCGCCCCCTCCCCTGGCGTCCCCTCCCCCGCCGGCCTCCGCGCTTGGCTGCGAGCGAGCGAGTGAGCGGAGGCGCCTCCGGACCGACCGACCGACCTACCGACCGACCGACGGACTGACGGAGCCCAGGAGCCAGCGGGGCAGCGGCGGCGGCCCCCGGCGAGCGAGAGGTGAGTGCCGCCTCCCACCCCCGCATCCCTTCCCGCTTCTCCTCTCCCCTCTGTCCCTACTCAGGGGGCTGTCGCCGGCTCCTGCTCCTGTCCCTTGCTCCGACCCTTGCCCCCTGCCCCTTCTGGTGCCCAGGCTGCAGAGCTGGTCCTCTCGGGGGCCTTGGCGGGGCGAGCTCTCGAGCAGCTGGGGACCTGTTGGCATCAGTGATGCTAGGACTGAGGCAGGGGTAGGGGCTGGGGGAAGGAGGGTATCTGGAGCTACCTCTTGTACCCCTGCCCCCTCCCGGTGCTTTGGCCCCAGGGCTGGGGACCCTGCGGAGGGGGGTGCCATTACTGCTGGTCACCTCCCCTTCCATCTCCCATGTAGGGGCGCGCTTTCGGCTCTGAAGGCGCGGGTCGTCGGACCCTCAGTCCGTCTGTCCGTCCGTCTGTCAGTCCTCACGGAGCAGCACCCTGGGCTCCGCTCCCTTTGCCTGTTTGCTCCCAGCTCCGGCTTCGGCCGTCTGCCGCTGGGCTACGCTCCCTGGCGCCGGGGGTGGGCAGCTGGAAGCTGGGTTAGGTTGGGAAGCTATCCGTACAGACCCAGCCCAAGAGGGAGAACAGCGGCAGAGGCAAACAGGTATCCTGGGAGAAGGGTTGAGGGCAGATACGGCGGGTTGGAGATGGGGAAAGAAGGAGGGAGGATTCCCTTCAACCACCGGTTGGGCTGAGTGCCCTTCCCAGCTCTCTCTTCCCGACCTGGGGAAGACAGTAGCTTATGCCACCCTTGCTACAAGGGAGGCAGAGTCAAGGAATAAGGGGGAGGCCCTCGGTGCCCCAGAGAGTGACTACTCAGGTTGTGAGCTGGGATAGCTCTTCACTGACCACAGGGAGACCTGCACCTGGGGAAGGCAAAAGACATTCATCTCTGGAGCAGATTTGGAATGGGCATAGGGTGGGCAGTAGCACTTTGCCGTGCCCAGTTCACCCTAGACCACAGCTTCCCCCAGTAATGAACTTCCCTTCCCAGGTGTCCAAGGGCCCTGAGAGACAGCAAGCATGTAGGTCTTTGCCTGTCCTCTGCAGGGCTTGGTTGCAGAGAGTGGAACAGACTGGTACATTGAGAGTTCACAGATGATGGCACAGAATCCATACAGCTGGAGAGGGCAACTGCCCCCTCCACCCCTATTTCTCCATCGTTCTTTCTTGGTTGGATCAATGTAACAGGGAAGCATCTTCCCTGATCCTCACCCATAGCAGTAGCTAGCTTCCCATATTTATTTTTTCCAACAGGTCCATGTGTACAACACCCCCCCCCAAACCCAAAAAACCAAAAAACAAAACCTGGGAGGACCTCTAGGCCCTAGGGACTGTTTTCAGCCTGGGTCAGGTCAGGAAAGGTGGGTGCTCTGAGCCAGGTGAAGTCACAGCTCACTACCTAAATGCTCATTAGAAATCTCCTGATTAAATGAATCCTTATTTCTCTCATAGCCAGTGTGGTATAGTAGAATTCTTCAGGTTTTTTTTTTGGGGGGGGGAAGGGGGGTGGTGTGTTGGACCCATGTTCATCAAATCCTGTTGAGAGTAAGAAAATCCAAATCCAGACTATGGCTAGAGTGGGGTACAAATGGGCTACCCAGGATGGAAATATGCATTCCACCAATGTTACTGGGTATGAATGTATAGCTCAGGTGGGTTTGTATATACTGGCATGGCCAGGGGGCTTATCCTAAGCATGTGTGTGCAAATGTAAACACTAATCTATAATTAGGGTTTCTGCGTCCTGCTTTGTTTCTTGCCAACATTCAGCTCAGCAGATGAAATATTATTTTTCAATCCAAGCATTGGAGCTGTGTAAAAGGCTTAAGTCAGTATGGAATTTTCTTACCGGTAAAGCAAAAGACATGTATAGTAAGTTGAGAAACCCCTGCCTAAGCATTCTGACTTTCTGGGGTTGTTGTTTTTGGGGGGGTGGGGGAGGATGCAGTGGAAAGGAGAGCCAAGGCAAAGTTGAGTGGTGTGACTTTTTTGTTGGTTTAAAATTGTTTTTGTCTTGGGTTGAATGAAGCCTTCAGTAGCAACATGCCAGGGGATCCTTTCCCTGAGAGCTTCTCTTACTGCTCCCCAGGTCCTTAGGCAACACAGTGTAAGTGATGGCAGGAATCGGGTGGGTGTCTTCAGAGTGCACTCGGTCAGTCTGTTGTCTTTAGATGGCTTGCCAGCTGTTCTAGCCCTGGTGGTGCTGTCACCTTTCCTGAGGACACTACAGAGAAATGGCACTTTCATGGTCACTGCTGGCTGAGGGTGGGGTACTGGGTGGATGCTTGGAGAAGCTGGACATGACTGAGCATGCTTGTTGACCACAGTCAAAGAAGAGTGGGGAATAAAAAGATAGGTGAAAAGTTTCTCTGGAAAGAGTTGGCTCCATTCAGTGCAGAACTCTCACCAAAATGTCACCTTTGTCTGAACTCTGGAAGTAATAATTGCCATCCGTAAGGCCTCCTTTGAGGACGCAGTGCGAACAGCAGCCTTCTTTATCATGTGTGTGACTGGGGAAGGGATATAATCTAGGTCAGCTGGTTCTGTGAAGGGAATGCTGGACGAGACTTGATGGAGTCAGACGCAGGGGCCTACCCACTGGAAGTGAGGAAGGTGGTGGGGAGAATGACAAGACATCGGTGCCCTCCCTTTGAAAACAGACACCTTTGTTTCCTGGGGGGAGGGCTTTCTGAACAGGGCTTAAGTATTCACAAGGTCTCAGATCTGGCAACTTGTCTGATGAAGGGGGTGGACTTGAGGTGGAGGAGATGGACTCTTCTTACCTGTGAAACCTGTCTGTGGCAATAGGTTCATTGACATACTCCAAAGACTTTGATCTCTTTCCCCACCCTATCCTTGTGACAGCCTCCTTGGAAACCACATGATTAAATGAATTCCAAAACCTGTCCAAGACAGTATAGTATAGCGTAAAGATAGCTGGATTTGAAGCCAGAAAAATATGTTCAAATCTCAGCCCTGGCTTTGTGTGACTTTGGGCAAGTCATTTCCCCTCTGTATGCCTCAGATGGCTTCTGAGGTTCCTTCTGGCTCCAAATTTATGATCCATGATTGCTAGCATCAAATTCAACCTCTTCCTTTTCCAGACAAGGAAATAGAGGCCCAGGAAAAGGAAGAGACTTCTCCAAGGTCACAAAGCCAATCTGTGGTAGAGAAGGGTCTAGAATCCAGATTTCCTTATCCCCAGGCCAGGGCTTTTCCCACTTCAGTATAGAAAGAGCACTGGAATTGGGGTCAGAGGATCTGAGTTTAATTCCTGATTCTATTACTTATTATCCCAGCACAGTGTCTGAGATACAGTAAGGGCTTAATATATGCTCTCTCTCTCTCTCTCTCTCTCTCTCTCTCTCTGTTCTCTCTCTGTCTCTGTGTCTGTCTCTCTCCTTCCCTTCTTATCTCTCCCTCCCTTCTCTTTGTCTCTACTCTCTCTCTCCTCCCTCCCTTTCTGTCTCTCCATGTTGCTGTCTCTATCTCTCTTTGTCTCTCTTTATCTCTCTCTCTCTGTATGTCCTGCACTCTTTCTTATCTGTCTTTATTTGACTCTTTTCCTGTCTGTGTGTTTATCAGTGTAATCTTGTCTGGGACTCAGTTTTCTCATCTGTAAAATTGGGGTGTGTGTGTGTGTGTGTGAGAGAGAGAGAGAGATTGCTGAGGTTCCTTCTCTCTCTGAAACCTATCCTTGAGTAAGACTGACACCAGGACTGGTAAGACTATCAGATCTCTTTGGGGATTTCTCCTTTCTTTTTCGCCATCTTTCCTCCCCCTTGGGTGTGGACTGGGTGGCATCTTTATGGTTCACCCTAGACTCAAGGCTTCTGAGAGGTTGCTGGCTGGCAGAACTGATCTGTTCTTCATTGTCTGTGCTGACAGCTTCTTCCCCCAGTTTAGCTATGTCCGTGAACTCCTTGGGCACCAGCCCTTGGGTGCTGATACAATGGTCAGAGCCTTGCTCCTCTGCTCTGATGATAAAGCTGCCTCCCCTGGAGAAGCCCCCACACAACATTTGGGAAATGCCTTGAAATTCCTGAAGTGAGCTTTCCAGGACATGGTCATAATTAGAGGACAATCCAAATGAAGGTGATGGATGTCACTGCTCTGCATTCTTTCTGGGCTTGCCCAGGTTACACACCTTCTACTTAAGGTGACTAGTCCAGACCAAGTAGTGGTACTGGGCATTCTCATATGAGTAAAATTCCAGGCAGTCCTGCATGACAAGGGGAGCCCATTTGTCTTTGGCTGAGCAATTGTAGATGGGGTCTATGCTACCTCATGCCCCAGGCAGCTTGGAACCTTTGAAACACCTTCCAATATGGAATCGACACTATCTTAGTTCAATAAAATGAATTGGCTTTGCCCCATTTGAAGTGAAGGTCAGAGATAGGGAGGAAAAGGCACTGACAGTGTATATTACATTTCTCCTCAAGGTCACACAACTGGAGGAACCTTGGCTTATTGAAGAACTTTTTGTGTGTCATGACCCCTTTTGGCAGCTACTCTGCTGAGGGCCAGGGACCCCTTCTCAGGATCATATTTTTACACCAATAAAATAAAATAAACAGGATTACAAAGGAAACTAATTATCTCAAAATACAGTGATCCAAAAAAATTTTTTTAAATTAAAAATTAGTTCCTAGCCCCTAGGTTATGACACCTTGTGAACAATTCCCGATGCTATGGGACTTTGGGCAAGTCATTTGAATTCCCTAGGCTTTGGTTTATTTTTGTGGAATATAGCAGCCATGTGATAGGTGGCTAGATTGCTAGGATTAACAACAGGAAGAGCTGATGCATTTCCTGAAACTTACACTTACTCACCAGGTGACCCTGGACAAGTCACTTATCCTCATTGAGCCTTAGTGGCTTTTCTGTAAAATGAGAGAGTTGTACTCAATGACCTCTGAAGTCACTTCCAGTACTAGGAGCCTATGATCTGATGGGCTTCCAGGTCTAACTTTCTTATTTCACTCTGATACTCCTATATCTCTTACTGGGGAATGAAAGTGAAAACCCACAATAGCCACAAAAGTCACCTCTCTAACCACTTTATTGCCAGAAATTAGGATGCTAATAACCAGTTTTGAGTAGATAAGACAGGGCACACATCGAGCAGCTTCAGGTGATTGTGTTGGACCAGGTGCTACTGAATCCTGAAACATTCTCACCTCCAAATCATTCTCTAACTATGCTTCTTAACCTGGAATCCATGGATAGATTTCAGGGCATTTATGAAGCTGGGTGGGGAAAAAATGACATCTTTATTTCAGTAGATTCGATTTCCTTTGTAATCCTATGTATTTTGTTGTATATGTTTAGAACCATAATTCTGAGCAGGTGTCCAAGGTTTAGCAGATTGGCGGCCCAAGGGGTACATGACACAACAGAACCGGAGAACTGGAGCTCCGAGAAGCTGCTTTTTGGAGCTTTGCGAACAAGTCAGTCTTCTTTCTTCCTGGGCTCTAATTGCTGGGGAATACGAAAACATCGAAAAGTCAGGAGAAACAATGGCATCCATTTGATATGCAGGAGGGTTCTCTGAAAACTTAATGTATACATCCAACCCACAGAATAATTAAATTTTCATTAAGAGGCTATCTCTGCAAACACACATTGAAATTTTTTTGCTCTGGTATGCCAGTGTGGCTCCAAAACATTTAGCTGAGATTATAGGGAACTTTGCACCTTCCCTTTCCATCTTCCCCCTGCCACCTTCCACCCCCTCCCCCAGGGTGAAATTCCAGGACTTGTGAGTGAGTGCAAGGCAGCCAACTCAGCTGTGAGGATCTGCCCCAGAGATGATTTGAAGTAAACAGGGAAATAAAACCAGCTAAATGGAGTTTCTGTTGGCACCATGCATAGGTTTTGGGAGGTTTGGGAAAGTAGAGCTTGGTTTGTGTCTTCAATGCAGGGACTGTGGGTTGGCCTGCTTTTGCTGCAATGACAGTTGTGGCTTCACTGACTTTGTGTCAGAGGACCTGGGTTCAAATCTCTTGGGCAAACCACTTTTCCCCTTGGGTCCCTAGTTCTTTATCCAAAATGGGGGCATTGAACTAGACAGCTGCTGAGGTGCCATGTAGCGCTACATCTGTGCTCCTAAACTATTCGTTCCCTTGGGTCTCAGTTTCCTCATCTGTAAAATGCAGGGGTTGGATTGGATGGTTTCTGAGTTTCCTTGAGGCTTTTAGATCAATGATTTTGTGAACCTATCAAAAATAGCTATTATTTCTTCACCCATCCATTCATCCATACGTCTGTCTGTCTCTCTTCCTATTTGTTTATTGGGCAGGTCCTGTGATTACATGAATGTGGAGAGCTCTCAGTGTGGAAACTTCCTCCTCTGATTCCCATGTGAAGCTCATCTGTATTCTGCAGGCCTAAACACTTGTCCAGGGTGCAGAAAGATTGTCACTTGAAAGGCCTTGGAGAGGATGTGGAATTGGAGTAGGAAGACCCGCCTCTGACACTTAGTGGCTACACGACCTTGGGAAAGAGGCTCACTTAACCTCTGTGAGTCTCAGTTTCTTCATCTGTAAAATGAGAGAGTTGAGCTGCCGGCCTCTATGATCCCTTCTTGCTCTAAAATCTGTGATCCTACGATTTGCTGAGGGTCACACAGACAGTATGTGGCAGAGAAATTCTGGGACTGGATCTTCTTGACCCCACAGTCAGCCCTGTCGCCATTACTTGTCGCTCTGAACCTGGAGTGCTTTTAAGGTTGGCGAAACACTTTACATGCAACATTTCACTGGGGCTTCCTGCTAACCCTCTGAGGTATTCCTCATTTTACAGAGGAGAAAATCGTAACTCAGAGGTGAAGGGAGGGGCGTGTAGTTACATAGCTAGTTGGTGTCAGAGGTAGGGTTGTTTAACCCAGACTTTCCCTATTCCTCGTCCATTAGGACATGTTGCCTTCTTCTAAGAGCACCAGCTGTCAGCAATTCCAGGTTAATTTAACTGAACTGAGTGAACTGAGTGGGACTGAAGGCTTGTTACTAGATGTAGCAAGTTCCATTATGACTTCAATTAAAGACATTTTATCCCAGTAAAGAAAAGAATTAAAATATGCTTAAAAAGAGTGAAATTGTAAATGTCACAAATGAGAAAACATTGCAAAGAAAATGTCAGAGGCAAGGATCCCCTTATTGGCCCTCTCCCCCTCACCCATTTTATAGAGGGGGAAACTGAAGTCCCCAGTAAGGGCAGATTTACCTAGTCACAGAGGTAGTGGTGTAGGCAGGCCTAGAACCCAGAGATCTCAGCTTCAGCCACACTGTTCTCCTGATACAGTTTCTGAAAGGTAGATGATTTAATCTAGTAACCCAAGGACTGGCATGGTTCTGAGCCAGATGAGATGTGGGTGGGTTTTACACTGTCCTTTCATTCATCCCATAAAGCGTAATCTATGTTTATATCCTGATAATGGGCCTAATTGCAGTATATACATTTTTATAGCATGGTAAAGAAAATTTCAAACATCTGTACTGCACATTGATGCTGAGGCCAAGCCTCCAGCTTTCCTGCTCCCTGTCCAGCTGGTCTCTGCACCATTTAATCTGGAGAGCTGAGGTCTGGGATGGGATTCATATGCTTCAGTTTAGAGAATTTCCCTCATTCCATTAAAAAAACAAAAACAGAAAAACCCAATTGTATGCTTTCCCTGCTTTGGAAAGGACATGTAGAAAAGATCTGGGACCTTGAGACTAGAAGCAGCTTGGCTTAATGAAAAGAACGCTATATTTTGAGCCTAAAGGCCTGGGTTCCAATTCTTGCTCTGTGTTTAATACCTGTGTGATCATGAGATAATTACTCATCCTCTCTGGGTCTCAATTTCCTTATTTCTAAAAGGAAGAGATTGGAATAGGCAACTTGCAAGGGCCTTCTCAGCTTTGACATCTCATGTTCTAAGATCCCTCCCAGCTCTGACATTCTGGGTTCTAAGATGCTATGCAAGAACTTCAACATTTTATGTTCTAAAGTCTTTTCTGGATCCAACAGTCTATGATTTAAATTCCCTTCTAGCTCTGACATTCTATATTCTAAGGACATTCCTAGCTCTGACATTCTGTGTTCCAAGGACCCTCCCAGATCTAACATCCTAGATTCTAAGGTCCCTCCCAGCTCTGACATCCTGTGTTCTAAGACATCATACATTCTATGTTCTAAGATTTCTTCTAGCTTTAACATTCTATATTCTAAGACCTTTCCCAGCGCCTACATTCTATATTCTGAGAGTCACTCAACTCTGATACTCTGTGTCCTGAAGTCCTTTCCATCTCTGCCATTCAGTGTTCTAAGACCCTTCCCAGTTCCAACATTCTTTGTTCTAATGTTCCTCCCAGCTCTGCCATTCAATGTTCTAAGACCCTTCCCAGTTCCAACATTCTTTGTTCTAATGTTCCTCTCAGCTCTGACATTCTGTGTCCTGAAGTCCCTTCTAGCTCTGACATTCTGGGTTCTAAGGTCCTTTTCATCTCAATGTTCTAAGATCCTTCCTATTCCCAACATTCTTTGTCCTATGGTCTTTCCATCTCTGCCATTCAGTGTTCTAAGACCCTTCCCAGTTCCAACATTCTTTGTTCTAATGTTCCTCCCAGCTCTGCCATTCTGTGTTCTAAGACCCTTCCCAGTTCCAACATTCTTTGTTCTAATGTTCCTCCCAGCTCTGCCATTCTGTGTTCTAAGACCCTTCCCAGTTCCAACATTCTTTGTTCTAATGTTCCTCCCAGCTCTGCCATTCTGTGTTCTAAGACCCTTCCCAGTTCCAACATTCTTTGTTCTAATGTTCCTCCCAGCTCTGCCATTCTGTGTTCTAAGACCCTTCCCAGTTCCAACATTCTTTGTTCTAATGTTCCTCTCAGCTCTGACATTCACTTCTCCAAATCAATGCTCCTGTGAGCTGTATTCTTTTTGTACTTTTTCATGAGACTAGGGAAACTTGCCTTGGACAATATTATAGAACTCATTATTAATGATACTAATTATAAAATTTGGTAATATTTATATAGTGCGGTATGTTTCACAATGGTTTCCACCCATGATCTTACTTCATCCTCACAAAAGTCCTAAGAGGTAGGTAGCATAGACATTTTTGCTCCCTTTTTACATATGAGGAAGACAAAGGACAAAGAAGGTTGTGACTTCTCTAACATCCTATAGCTAGCAAGAGGTAGTCACAGGATTGGAATCCAGGTCTTTTGACTGGAACCCAGTCAGCTTTCCAATTACCAGCATAGGGACAGGGTTAACCCCTCTCTACATCCCCCCACCCATGTCTGACTGCTCCCTTTGTAAAGTAGCAGGCTTCGGTAAGGCCTACATGGCAGATGGCCTGTAGTTACCAAGGCCCTCTCATCCTCCTTCTTCTGTTAGAAGCAAGAGGCACAGGTCCCGCTGGAACTGAGTTGTTTACAGAGCTTGGGCAGATTAAAGTACTCCTGGCATCAGGCCTCTCTCTTACATTATTTTTAAATAAATACTGAAATAAAAATGAGAGCGCTATAATTCATGCCACCCAAAGAGATAAATGCTGGTCTGCTGCAGGAAATGATCATTTTAAAAGCTTGGGACGGGAGCTGCCGGGAGCCCTCCAAGGGCTAGGATGATGATGGGGAGAAATTACATAATTAAAAAAAAGGAGGGGGTAAATTTGGAAGAGAATACTGTCAGAGATCTTATTGTTAGCCCCCAAATTATTACTTATGATGTAGGCTGACTCACAGTTTTGTACAAATTCTGCTAGGGAGGGGGCCGGGAGCCAACAGCCATGGGCTGACATTTAGCAAGGACTTGTGTGACCCCTCTGGTTTGTCCCCCAGGCCTGGGAGGCTCTTCCTCCTCCCCTCAGCCTTGAAGAATCCCTAGCTTCCTTCAAGGCTCAGCTTGGTGCTACCACCTGAGAGAGCGCTTCCTATCCTCCCTGGAAATTACTTTTTATTTACTTTGTATTTGAGTCCATTATCTATGGTCTGGCCAAACTGGTCTTCCTGCTGTTTCTCCCATATGATATTCCATTTTCCCTGTCTGTGCCTTTGCCTGGCCCATCCCCCATATCTGGAATGCTTTCCCTCTTCACTGTTGCCTCTTAGAATCCCTAATTATCTATCTATCTATCTATCTATCTATCTATCTATCTATCTATCTATCTATCTATCTATCTATCATCTATCTATCTATCTATCTATCTATCTATCTATCTATCTATCATCTATCTATCATCTATCTATCTATCTATCATCTATCTATCATCTATCTATCTATCTATCGATAGATCTATCTATCTATCTTTGTCCATCCATCTATCCATCCATCCATCTCTCTCTCTGTGTCCCTCTCTCTCTCTCTCCCCCATCTCTCCCTTCTCCACTCCCCTCCCCTTCTCCCTCCATCTATAACTATCATCTATCAATTATCTATCTATAATTTATCAATGATCAATCTATCATCTTTCTACCTCTCTCTATCTCTCATTTCTATTAAGTATATGTTCTGGATATATGTGGACATATTCTCTCCACATATAGAATGTCAGCTCTCTGAGGGCAAAACTGCTTTGTTTTTCTCTTTGTATCCCAGCACTTAGCACAGTGCCTGGCACATAGTAAGCATCTCTTTATCGATAGCTTAATAGTCCTCCCCTCCCCCTGCCCCAAGCTCAGCTTTAATGCCACACTACCCTCTTACTTGGGACTTTTTCTGCTGTTTGTTGTTGTTTGTTTGTTTGTTTCTTTTGGTTAGGTAATGGGGTTAAGTGAATTGTCCAGGGTCACACGGCTAGTACGTGTTATATGTCTGAGGCCACATTTGAACTCAGGCCCTCCTGAATCCAGGGCCAGTGCTCTATCCACTGTGCCATCTAGCTGCACGCCTTGAGACTTTTTCTAATCCCCATTCCCCCCACTGCTTCCCTTTCTCATGTTACTTTATATATATATAATACATATGCATACACATATACATACTTTATATATATAACATATACCCACACATATACAAATGTATACATGCATGTATATATGTATACATGTATACATATATACATGTATATGTACTTTTTATGTCTTTACATGTGTACTGACCATTTCCCCGTCCAATCAAATCAACATTTATCACGTGCCAGGTACTGTGGTAAGCACTGGGGAGATACGATTAATAAAAAGACAGCCCCTGCCCTCAGAAGGGCATGTAATGGGAATAACTCTATTCTCCAATAGAACGTGAGATCATGGAGCACATAGGATCATAGGATCACTGATTTAAGCTGGGAGGGACCTTAGCCAAGCCCAACCCCCTCATTTTATTGATGAGGAATTTGAGGTTGAGAGAAGTTTGGTGATCTGCCCAGAGTCACACAGCTAGTCAGTGTTTAAGTCAGGATTTGAACTCAGGTCTTCCTAAGTCCAAGTCCAACACTTTACCCATTGTGCCACAGGGGTCCTTTCTTTTGTGTTTCTATACCTCCAGTTTCTAGCACCGAGTAGGTGCTTTAAAAAGTGCTTTCTGAATGAATA